GTGACACCCGCCTCAGCCTCCCAGAGTGCTGGGTTCACAGGTGTATAGCATGATGGCAAGGAGTAATGTAAACAGGAGGTAATAGGGGAAGAAAGAAAGTAAAATGAATTAGGATTGTTATGTATGTATGCCAGCTCCCTAGGATGAATGTGAACATTATGTACTGCACACATGTACTAATAAAAATAAGATAAAAAGAGGTAATACAAGGCCAGAAGTGTAGCTCGGGGGTAGAGTTCTTGCCTAGCATGGACAAGGCCCCAGGTTTGATCTCAGCACAAGAAAAAAAAAGTAGACAAGGCGTAGTGGCACACCCCTATAATCCCAGAACACTCAGGAGACTGAGGCTGAGTTTGGAAACCAAGCTAGGATACAAGTGAGTTCAAGGCCAGCCTGAACTGCATAGTAAAACTGCATAGTTCGACTGCAAAAACAAACCCATAGTGGATACAGTGAGATCAAATATGTATAATTGAATTCCAGGAAAAAGAAGAGGGAAACAGGGGCTGGGGATTTAGCTCAGCAGCATAAGTGCGTGCCTTGCAAGCAGGCAGTTGTGAGTTCGATCCCTGGTACCGATAAAAAGGAAAAAGACAAAAAAAAAAAAAAAAAAACAATAGATCTGAGGCAATGTTTTGAAGAGATACTGGCTGACCAAAAAGCCCCCCAAAGTCTAGGCAAAATAAATAAAGTTAGTTGCTCAAATGATACATCAGAATAATAAATTTTTTATAAATCAAGACAAAGAGAAAAGAATTTTCCCCTGGGTATTGGGGATTGAAACCAGGGCCTTTGTGCTGACCTTTAAAAATACGGTTTTTTAAAAAAAATTGTGAGACAGGGTCAAAGTTGCTAGATTGCCCAGGGCAGGTTTGAACTTGAAATCTTCCTGCCTCAGCCTTCAGAGTGCAGGGTTTTCAGGCATTCGCCACCATGCTCAGCTGAGAAAAGGCTTCAAGTAGCCAGGAAAAAATCAGACTAACATTGACAGAGTGACAGTGAAACACACCACTGGCTTCTCAATAAAACGGGCTTCAGAAAATAATGAAAAGTGGCAGATTCACACGTTGGCAGGGGAAGTGAGAGATGTTGCCACTAGCAGGTAACTACTGAAAGGCAGAACTTCAGGCTTTTCATAGTGCAGAAAGAAAATAATCTTGCATAAATGATTAGAGGCAGATAGGCCGTGAAGACCAGCCGGGTGGGCTGTAGTGGTACATGATGTAATCCCACCGCCCAGGAGGCAGAGGCAGGAGAATCACTGAGAGTTCACAGCCAGGCTGTGCTCCTCAGTGAGTTCAAGGCCATCCTGAACTGCAGTGGAGACCCTGTCTGAAAACAGCAGTGAAGACAAAATAAATAAATCATAGTTATAAGGGCATGTGGTATATATGTGGGAAGGTGGTATGTGTGGTGAATGTTACTAAGCCGTTTTGATAAGGAAGACTGGTAATTTCTTGTTTGGTTTTTGAGACGAGGTCTCACTTTGTAGGCAGGCTGGCCTTGAATTGGCAGAGATCCTCCTACCTCAGCTTCTTGAGTGCTGGGATTGCAAGCATGCACAACCATGCCTGACTTGGTAATTTCTTTTTTCTTCTATATTTTGGTATGTTTTTTGTTTGTGTTGAGACAGGCTCTTGCTGTGTAGTTCAGGTGGCTCTGAGCTCACTGTGTAACCCAAACTGGCTTCAAGCTTTCAACAGTTCTGCTGAGTGCCAAGATTACAGGCATCACCACTGCCCCTAGTCAGAGGACTGGAAATTTCTAAGGTAATCAGCTGAAAGGCTGAAACAGTGTCAGCATAACAGAATGGCACTTCACACACTTGAGTGTCTAATCAAAAAGACATGCTGGCCAGGGTGGCAGTACCTTTAGTCCCAGCTAACCTGGAGGCTGAATCAGGGTGAGCACAGAGCCCAGGAGCTGAAGGCTAGGTGGGATGATAGGATGATGTCATCCCAGGGCTCACGAAGAGAGTCATGTGATGTGATGCCAAGGGCAAGAGAGCTTGGGACCCTCACGGGGACAGGAATGGAAAGTGGTGCTGCGTGCGATTTGACAGTTCTACATGCAGACTTACTATGGTAACCCTAGCAGTTCCTTTCATAGGTGCATAGCCCAGAGAACTGAAAGTAGGCACTCAGACACCAGAGCTGGAGGCAGCATCCCCCATCAGTCCAGCTGTCTGGTAGGGTGAGGCCAGAGGGCTATAAGTTTGGGCCAGGCCTGGGCATTTGTCAGCTTACCAAGAAACTGTCTAAAATGAAACCTAAAAATGTCTGGGAGTGCCATTCTGTGCAAAGGCCCTGGGGTCAATTCCCAGGACCACAAAACAGACCAGCAAGAAATGTGTACAGAATGTGCCCAGCAGCCCCATCCACAGTAGCCAAAAAGTGGGAAGCACCTGAATGTCCCGCAGCTGCAAAATGGAAGCAACAGTTTAGAATTTTAAAACTCTGCTTCCCTGCTGGGAACTTTTGTCTTTTCTTTCATAATTTTCTTTTTCTCTTCCAGAAATTTCACTTGGATACCTTACCTCTAGAATTGGCCCTCTGTACTTCTCATTGTTTCCTTCATTTCCCTTTACCTTTTGTGTCTCACCCTTAACATTTTTCTTCTTGTTGTCTTACAGCCTTTCTGTCATAGTTCTTCAGTTGTTTTTTTTCTCAGTGCATGTTGGGGGCACAGGATGGTTACATTCCCTGTGGGGAGTTAGTGTTTGCACATGACACACTGCAATTCTTTTTCATCGGTTCCCACCCCTGCCCTGCCCTGCCCCCTTCCTCCAGCTCTTAGTCTCCTCCCATTTACAAAATAACCTCCCTATTTCCTTTTATCTTTCTGTGTGTTTTTTTTTTTTTTTTTTTTTTTTTTTTGTCTTTTTCCTTTTTATCGGTACCGGGGATCGAACTCACGACTGCCTGCTTGCAAGGCAGGCGCTTATGCCGCTGAGCTAAATCCCCAGCCCCTCTGTGTCTTTTTTTTTTTTTTTTTTTTTTGTTCCAGAGATCCAAACTCATAACCTCGAGCTTGCCAGGCAGGGGCTTGTGCTGATGAGCTAAATCCCTGCCCCCCCCCCTCGTCTTTCATTCTGCTCTTTAGTTATATTATTTTGCGTTTCTCATATAAGAGAAACTGTGATACTTAAATTCATGTGTCTGGTTTGTTTCACTGACTGCTATGGTCTCCATTGTATTTAACTTTTTTTTTGAGACAGGGTCCCACTATGCAGTTCAGGCTAGCCTTGAGCTCACTGCATAGTCCACACTGGCCTTGAACTTGTCTTAGTCTCCCGAGTGCTGGGATTACAGGTGTGTGCCACCGCACACCATTCTGGTCTCCAGGTGTGTCCATCTTCCTATAAGTGACTCACATTTAGCTTGATTTATTGTAGAGTAGGGCTGCAGTATGTACAGATACCACATTTTTATTCATTTTCTGTTGATGCTCCCAAGGTTTCACTATTACAGGTTATGCTGCTATAAATATGAGTGTACATGCGTCACTGTAACATGGTATCTTTAACCCTTTCAGAAATATTCCTAGAGGGGGCTGGAGGTTTAGCTCAGCGGCATAAGTGCCTGCCTTGCAAGCAGGCAGTCGTGAGTTTGATCCCCAATACTGATAAAAAGGAAAAAGACCCAAAAAAAAAAAGAAAGAAATATTCCTAGAAGGGCATACCCAGGTTAAATGGGATTTCTATTTTTAGTTTTGTTTTGGTTTTTCTGGTACCAGGGATTGAACTCAAGACTGTGCGCTTGTAAGGCAGGCACTGAGCTAAATCCCCAGTCCCAATTTTTACTTTTTTGAGAAATCCCATATAGTACTGATATTCATAGTGGTTGTGCTAGTTTATATTCCCACCATTTAGAAGAGTTCCTTTTCCCCAGAAGCCTTACAGATTTGTTGTTATTTGATTACATGATGATAGCCTATTATTTCTGGAGTAAGATGTTTTAATTAAAAAATTTTTTTTCCTTTAGACAGTCTTGCTGTGGGGGCTGGGATTTAGCTCAGCAGCATAAGTACCTGCCTTGCAAGCAGGCAATAGTGAGTTCAATCCCCGGTACCGATAAAAAAAAAAAAAAATAGTCTTGCTATGTAGCCCAGGGTAGCCCCAAACTTGTGCCTTAATTTATATTTCTTTAATGGCCAGCGATGTTGAACATGTTTCATGTATTTGTTGTTCATTTATACTTCTGAGAAGTGTCTATTTCCATTGCCTATTTTTTATTGGGTAATTGATTTTGAGGTATCTAATTGTTTTGAGTTCTTCATGTGTATATATATTTTTTTCTTTACAAATCTTTATATATTGTTAGTGTTAGTCTTCTGTCTGAGACAAAGCCAGCAGAACATTTCCCCCCATTCTGTAGGTTGTCTCCTCACTCTGATGATTGTTTTCTTTGCTGTACAGAAGCTTTCTAACTTGTGCCATTCCTCATGCAATTGAGGTTCTGTTCAGGTCTTTGCCTATGCCTGCGTGTTAAAGATTTCTACCTGTTTTACCTTCCAGCAGGTTGTTTCTGTTATAACACTGAGGTCTTTGATCCATTTTGATTGTGATTACTGCATGGTGAGAGAAGGATCTGGATTCAGTCCCCTGAGTGCGAGAGGCCTTGTCTTCCTAGCGCCATTTGTTAAAGAGCCTGTCTTTCCTCCAGCGTGTTTCTAGCTACTTTGCTAAAGAGCAAATGACTCAGTGTGCCTGGATTGTTTGCTTTCTGTGTTCTGTTCCATTAATCCACATGTCTGTTTCTATTTTTATTCATTTATTTAGAACTGGGAGTTGAACTCACGACCTCACACTTGCCAGGCAGGTGCTGTGCCACTGCACTAGATCCCCAGCCCTCACTGCTGTTTTTATCACTTGCTTTGTAGTTGTAGTCAGGGTTTGCAAGGGAAAAGATTTAATACAGCACACATAATTTATAGGATGATTTTATAATATTAACCCAAAGAGTCAAATGCACGAGTGTGCAGGAGATCTGTCCCCACAGGAGAGACCCAAAGAGCCCAGCTGAGTGCCCGGATCCCACGGCAATGTCCTGTACAAGTCCAGGTGGAGGCCCAGAGTAGATGACAATGTCCCGTGCAAGTCTGTATGACAGATCTGCGCTGGGGAGCCCTAAAGACCAGTGATGGAAGCTAGAAAGTCTGTGCCAGCGGGTGAAGGATCTGTGCCAGCAGGCTGAGAGATCTGCACTGGAGCCAGGGATTAAAGCTTAAGGTAAAGAAGCCTAGCCACCCTCAGCAACAGTGGTATCCTGAGCTCCTTCAAGGATGAGAACAGCCGAGTTCGTATCAGAAAAACCAGTGTGACAAGCTTTTCCAGGAGAATCACCAGTGCACATATTCCCCTCCAGTTCTGCTCTTACGATGCTGGCAGCGATTCTCAGGGGGCCCTCCACACGCAGCATCGCGCTCAGTGCCGCTGGGGGCTCCAAGTTGCCCAGTAGTTCATCCACCGTAAGTAGCACAACCTGAAATCTGGGGTTGTGATGCCTCTTTGTTTCGTTATTCTTCTGGGTCTCTTCTGATGCCATATAATGTTAGGATTGTTTTCCCCAATTCTGTGAGGAATGCTATTGGTATTTTGAGTGGGTTTTAATTTCAGAAATTAAAGTTTTAAGTTTCTAGCATCCTGAGCTGGGTGTGATTGCACATTCACTTAATCCCAGGACTCAGGAGACTGAGGCAGTAGGCTTGTTGTGAGTTCAAGATGAGCCTGGGCTACATAGTGAGATTCTGTCTCAAGAAACCAACAAAAATTCTAAGTTTTATTTCATGCTTTTTTTCTCATAATATCTTTTCCTTGTTATAAGAATGCAGTATTGAGCCAGGCATGGTGGTGCGTGCCTGTAATCCCAGCACTTGGGAGGTTGAGGCAGGAGGATTGTTGTGAGTTTGAGACCAGCCTGGGCTACAAAGTAAGCTCAAGGCCAGCCTGAACTTCAATGCAAGACCCTGTCTCAAAAAAAAAAAAAATCAGTATTATTTTTGAGGATATTAGATGATTTTAAATATTTTTCTCTTCTGAGCCAGCACAGTGGCTCATAATGTTACCCTGGCATTTGGGAGCCTGAGGATCATTGAAAGTTCAAGGCTAGGCTGGGCTGAGACCTTGGTTCTTAAAAAAAAAAAAATTTTTTTTTGGTCTTTTTCTTTTTTATCGGTACCAGGGATCGAACTCACGACTGCCTGCTTATAAGGCAGGCGTTTATGCCGCTGAGCTAAATCCCCCGCCCCTCCCCCCCAAATTTTTTTCCTCTTCCATGTATTGAATTATTTCCCCACTCTAGAGTCCTTTTGAAACGGGGTCTCACTGTAGTTCAGGCTGGCCTTGAACTCACTTTGTAGCCCACAACAGCCTCAAACTCACAATGATCCTCCTGCTTCAGCCTCCTGAGTGCTGGGAGTATAGTCATGTACCACCACGCCTGACTCAATAGTCATTTTTAAAAAGATGTTTATCCTATTCTCTTTTGTGTTACAAGTTTTTCTCAAATATCTGGTATTTTTTGGTTGCCAATAAGTTTTTACTAATGCTGCATAAACATGGGCTGGGATGTGTGTGTGAAAAGGTGTTGCCTCCTGCCAGGCAGATGTGAGCAGGCGGGGCCCGTGAGTGCCAGAATATCAAATATTATTGCAGCTTGTCATGCCAGCTGCTCCAGTTATCCTCAACTAGTTCAGTCTGTTTTTCGGAACTCCCTGCCCTGCTGTGGTGGTGGTGGTATACTTGCTTTGTTTTTCTGAGACAGGGTCTCACTGTGCAGCCCAGGCTGACCTTAGACCTGGAGCAATCCTCCTGCCTCTGACTCCTGATGGCTGAAATTGTAGGCATGTGCCACAATGCCTGGCTCCTACCCCCTTCTAAAATTTTTTTAAAAAACTACCCTAGACCTTAGTCTAAATGTCAGGTGGATTTACTCTGGTGAAGATAGTGCTGGATAGTGCTGAGGATAGTGGTGAAGAGAGAGGTTTGTCTGTGCTGCGTGGAGTTGAAGTTGATGTCTTGTTTCTTTATTTCTGTATTTTCTTCTTGGCCAGTGCCCCGCCTCAGTCCTGGTTCCCCACCTCTCTCGGGACTCTGCAGGGCACAGCAGTAGCCCCTGACAGTTTGCAGTGTAGCTTTTACCATTCTGTTAAATACTCAAACTCTCTGATTTCTTTGTTCTAGGTTTTCAATGGAATAACTGCACTTGCTGAAGAATTGCTCCTATTTTTGCACTGTTTGGGGGCTATAACCGTTTAGTTCTTTTATTTGTTGGGGTGATGTTAGGGGTTCTAAGCAGGTGTCCAGTCTGTTAGCTTCTACTGGAGGGGAAAATGTAGTCAAATAAATTCCTTAATGTCTGCAGCCCTTGAGAGCTGTGTGACTGTGGAGGCTGAGGCGGGGGGGGAGGGGGACGGACGGATGGACACAGTGACGGCTGAAGTGTGCCACATTCACTTGTGACTAGCAGGATGAAACCTGTTTATTGGTTTAACTAGTACGCCTGGGCACAGAAGGTGTGACTTTCGAATGGTGCATACGTGTCATCCCAGCACTCAGGAGGCTGAGGCAGAAAGATTGTTGCAAGTTCAAGACCAGCCTGGGCTACAAAGTGAGCTCAAGGCCAGCCTGAACTGCATAGAGAGAGCCTGTCTCAAAGAGACCAATACAGTGTCTTCTGACTTGTACATCTTGGACAAAAAAAAAAAATGCCCCAAATCCTTGAACTTCATGGGTTCTGCAAAATGAACTTCATGTTGAGATGTTTGAGTGATTCCGGTTCAGTAGGTGGCACTCTTTCCTAGTTTAATTCAATCCTAAATTAGACTTCCACGGATTCAGAGTGAAAATTATTTATCTGTATAATTCAAATATATATGGTTTCAGTTTGGTTATCATCAACATTAATCAACTGACTAAATGTATCAAATCAATCACATTAACCAAAATCTCTAAGTTACCTTTCCAAATATCTAACATGTTAGCATAATAATGATTTGTGCTCTGTAAAGTAAAAAACAAAAAACCCTGAAATATAAACAGGAGCCCTGGGGATTAAAGGCATTCATAACAGAGATTCATAATAGTGGTCAAATATTTTTTATTTTGTTTTATTTAGTATCTATTTATGTATTTTTGGGTTTTTAGACAGGGTCTTGCTATCTAACCCAAACTGGCCTCCCACTTCCAGCAGTCCTCCTGCTTTAGCCTCCTGAATGCTGGGATTACAGGTGTGATACACTATGTCCAGCTCTGTAACCTTGAAATAAGCAGCCTTTGAAGTCCTCTAATTCAAAATTACAAAATTATTTTGCTTTGTTTTAAAAAACAAGGTCAAAATGCACCATACTAGTCAGGCATGGTGGTACATGCCTGTAATCTCAGCACTTTCAAGCCAGAACAGGAGGATTGCCATAAAAAAAAAAAAAAAAAAAAGGAGGATTGCCATGAGTTCAAGACCAGCATGGGCTACATACATAAGAAAACCCTATCCCAAAAAACAAAACAAAAATGCCTCCTACAATTACATTAATACTATGGTAGATTCATGAAACTTCTATTTTTGGAAAACTGCATGATCTACAAATAATAACCAGCAAATGTATAGAAGCATCTTTATTTCCTGTTTCGAATCTGCAACACCATAACCTACATGTAATCACAATTTAAATTATACTATTCAGGGCTGTAGTTATAACTCAGCAGCACAGTACTTGTCTGGCAAGTGCAAGGCCCTGAGTTCAGTTTCTGGTACCAAAAATGAACATAGGAAAAAAAAAAACAAAAGCCCTTTGAATTTTTTTTTTTTTGTCTTTTTCTTTTTTATCAGTACCAGGGATCGAACTCATGACTGCCTGCTTGCAAGGCAGGCGCTTATGCCGCTGAGCTAAATCCCCAGCCCCCTAAATTGTTGTATTCTCAGGGTTTACATAAAGCTAATTTGATCTCAAGGAAAACATGAAATGTGTTTGAAGCCAGGCTTGGTTACACACACCTATAATCCCAGCACTTAGGAGGCTGAGGCAGCAGGATTGCTGTGAGTTCAAGGCCAACCTGGGCTACAAAGTGAGACTCCCTTTCAAAAAGGCACTTCAGAGGCTAAGCTTTTTTTTTTTTTTTTTTTTTGTCTTTTTTATTTTTATCGGTACCGGGGATCGAACTCATGACCGCCTGCTTGCAAAGCAGGTGCTTACGCCGCTGAGCTAAACCCCCAGCCCCAGAGGCCAAGCTTTTCAATGAGCAGAAACTTGTGGAATCTCCTCTGACTGCTAATACAGTAAAGTTTTGAAATTATGAATTTCAAAAACATGTTGTGAAACTGTTCTGAAAATGTTCAACCCCCTATAAAATTTTAATGGTGAGCCTCTAAATAGACTTTAGCCAACTTCATAAAAATACTGGTAATTAACAGACCAAAGGGTTTCTAAGACTGATTTCCAGTCACTTGGGGCCCCTGAATTGTGATTCTAAGCATCTATCACCAGTGGTTGGTAGTAGCTTTCTCTTTCATCTTCCTACTGTTTTATTTTATTTTATTTTTATTTATTTATTTATTTTATTGGTCCTGGGGATCGAACTCACGACCACCTGCTTGCAAGGCAGGCACTTATGCCACTGAGCTAAAATAAATCCCCAGCCCTTACCGTTTTAGTTTAAAAATATACTTTCCCAGAGCTAGATGACCTGCAACAATGCCCAGATTTTGGCATGGAAACCAGAAATCTATCAGGACAGCTGAGGTTTCAAATGTTCATCTACAAAATTCCAGACATTCTGTGTCCCCTGGTCAGACTATCATCTGTTATCTTGGTTTTCCAGAAATTTAGCCCCACAGATGATATCAGTCATTGGCAATTCAATACATCTTGAATACTGCACTCTGAATAAGTCAGAAATTCACAGATTGATAATCACCCAAGTTGTCTTTTTTTATTTGTTTTGTGGTACAATAAGTCTCTGCTTAGCAATGAGTTCCATTCCTGGAAGATATTAGTGAGTCGAGTTTGTTTCAAAGTCTTACAAAATGAGTCTCACACATTTGGACACAAATGTACCATGGTGTCTTGGTTCACAAACTCACTTCTCTCTATGATTCTTGTTGCAAATCAAAGCAGACAAGAATTGAAGAAGATTTTCCCATAAGGTCAACATTGAACCCAACCATCCACTGAATTTGATTCAGGACAGTGTAAAGCTTGAGAAACGCAAAGGCGCTATCTGTTTATATCTGTGAAAGTGGACAGCTCAGATGGTTGGAAATTGAGACTTACATGCTAGGGACTGAACCCAGGCCCTGCCCTCTGATCTCTATCCCAGCCTTTCTTTTCTTTGAGACAGTGCTTTATTAGGTCATGAAGTGGTCTAGGCTGAGCTTTAACCTTCAACTCTTCTGTTTCAGCCTCCTGAGCGCTGGAATTACAGTTGTGCACCACTACGCTCGCTTCCTAGCCTTTTTTATCTTTATTTAATTAACTTTTTGTACTGGGAATCAAACTCATTACCTCATGCTTGCCAGGCAGACCCTGAACCACTAAGGTATACCCCAGCCTCTATTTTTAATTTTAATTTTTATTTATTTATTTATTTTTATACCCAGAATTGAGCTTGTACTTGTCAGGCATGAGCTGTGCCACTGAACTATATCCTTCCTAAATTTTATTTCTAAGACAGGATGCTGCTAATTTTTTTGGCTGGCTTTAATGTGTGTGTGGCTTGGGGGGGATTACTTTTTTGTTTGTTTTTGAGACAGGATCTCACTATGCAGTTCAGGCTTACCTTGAACTCACTACATAGCCCAGCCTTCTCTTAAACTCAGTGATCCTCCTGCCTTAGCTTCCCAAATTGCTGGGATTGCTGGCATGTGCTACCATGTCCCACTGGCTTCAGTTTGTGCCTGCCTCAGCTTACTGAGTAGCTGGGAGTATGGGAGAACACCACCATGCCCAGTCATAAACAAGATTTTAATGAGGACCTGCGCTAATTCAGCTAAATCATTATGCAGAGCCAGGCATGGTGACACATACCTGTAGACCTGACACTCAGGTAGTGGAGGCAAGAGGATTACTAAGAGTTCAAGACCACCCCGGAGTCTTAACAAAAAAATCTTTGGGACGGATTAAAAGTGAATTGGAGAGAACATTTAGTGATGATGACACTTTATTTTTATGTTTTTGGTACCAGGGATCAAACAACCTCATGCTTGCCAGGCAGGCACTTATACCACTGAGCTAAATCCCCAGCCCTAACACTTCATTGTTTACAGATATGCCAGGATATCACTGGAAATGAAACTAAATGGAATATGCCATACTTTCTGTAACTTTTCTTTTTCCTTTTTGAGATAGGGTCTCACTATGTGTTTCAGGCTGACCATGAACTCTTGGCAGTCTTTCTGCCTTAGCCTCCTGAGGACTGGAGTTACAACTGTGTGCTCCCATGCCTGACTTTGCAAAGCACTGAGTGACTAGCTGATTGACAGTTGGTTGGGAGAGACTGGGACTTGCTCTGTGTTCAGGCTGGTCTTGGACTCACTAAGTGGCCCAGACTGACTGAGAACTGTGGCAGTCCACCGGCCGGCTGCAGCCTCTGTGATTACAGGCATGTGTCACCATGCCTGCCTCCAAAGCATTTAATCTGAAGAAATAGCTCAGTAAACATTTTCAGAAAGTTCCTGAGATCTTAAGTACAGTATCTTATTTATTAAGTCTTCAAACATTGCTTTATTTTCTTCCATTTGCTTTCCTTCAAAAAGACAATCACAAAATTACTTACTCTCTACTGGTATGATGTGTACAATGGATGGTGGGCATTTTATCTTAGTATTCCTTTCTGATTTTTAGTAATTTGTATAAAATTTTTTCTGTTTATTTCAGGACTCATTAATTCAGCTCATTACTTCCATGTTTAGATCAAACTCCTCAAATTCCTGCCTGGGAGATAATTTGGACTGCTGGTTCCTGTCTTCAGGCCAATTTGGTAAACATTATTTTGCTGCAGTTTCAGGAAAGCATAATTTGACTTGGAGTATGTTTGAATAATCTTGATCTTTTCATGAGTGAATGAAACTATTTCTCAGAGATTCAAATGATTTACTAAGGATTTCTGCTTTCTTAATGGTAAAACTGAGACTATAGAGCCACAATCTCCTTCTTCAAAGTAATTCAATAAATATGTACTATGTTCTGTATTTTACTAAAAAGAGTTATTGTCAACTGGGCATAGTTGTGCATGCCTGTAATCCTAGCATTCAGGAGGCTGAGGCAGGAGGATTGCTGAAAGTTTGAGGTCAGCCTAGACCACATAGCAAGACCTGATGGACATGTTTTGAAATTTTGTTGTAGTTTTTTTTCCTTGAAATAAAATGGATTTGGAAAAGAAGAAAAAGAAAAAGAAAAAAATTAACCAAGCCATCAACCAACCATCAAACAGTATTTTGTGGTACCTCCCCAGAATTGTAGCATCCCTGAGAGGCTGAGCTAGCGGATCCCAATTTTAAGCCCTGCCTGGGCCATTTCATGACCTGGACTCCATCTCCAAGAAGGAAAAGAAAAAGACATTTTTTAATTTTAGTGTTTGGGACTAGATAGGGGCGTGTGTGTGTGTGTGTGTGTGTGATGATAGCATATGCAACTACACCCAGCTTTTATTTAAATGATGGCAAGTTTCACATTTATTATATTTTAGTTTATTTGTTTTTGGTTTTTTGAGACAGTGTCTAACTCTGCAGTTCGGGCTGACCTTGAACTCACTCTGTAACCCAGGCTGGCCTGGAACTGGCATCGATCCTTTGGTGTACGGGGGTTATGGCGTGCGCCACCATACCCAGCCTTATATTTATTAAAGTTAGGAAAAAACAGGTCTGGCAGAGCAAGTTTGGGCCAAATAAAAGTAGGAAAAAAGAGAAAAAAATATACCCTCGCGTGTAGAGTGTGCTACTGTGAATAGACATGGCAGCCCATTCCCATCCTTTTATTTTTTGCTTTATGACAAGGGCTTGCTACATTGTCCTGGTTGGGGTTGAACTTTGTGTGTTTGTTTGTTTGAGACAAGGTCTCTCTATGCCTTCAGGCTGGCCTGGAACTCATGGTGATCCTCTTGCCTCAGCCTCCAGATGCAGGGATTATAAGCATGGGCTACTATGCCTGAACTTTCTTTTCCTTTCCTTTCCTTTCTTTTTTTTTTCCTTTTCTTCCCTTCCTTTCCCTTTTCCCTTTTGCCTGTCCCTTTCCTTTTCCTTTTCTTTCCTTTCTTTTCCTTTCTGTTTGTTTGTTTTTGAGACAGGGTCTCTCTATGCAGTTTGTGCGGGCCTTGAGCTCACTTTGTAACACAAGCAGGTCTTATTTCCTGTCTCTCTGTTTTAATCACTCTCTCTGGCCCAGCTGCAAGTTTCATAGAGAAAGCAAGGTCATGAAGCCCTGTCTGCACAATAATGTTTCCTTCTCACTACCAGCTCGTGTCCTGCCCAGGTTAGATTCTCCCCTGTCAGCTTGGAACCGCATTGGAGTTGCTCTCCAGAGTGCATATCTTTGTTTCCAAGTCTCCCCTCTGTTTTCCTGCCTGCTCCAGTGGACCTCTAGGAATTGTCACCCTTCTGCAACACCATAGCCTGCTGGACCTGTGTCTCTCATTGACAATTGCATAAATGGTCCTTGTCCTCGGATCTGACCAGACTGGTCAGTGCTTTCTAACCCAGGGCTCTCCCACAGGGATACTATGAACGCATTGGTCCAGATATTTCCTTGCAGTGTCAGATGCTTAGCACATCCCCCAGATACCGGTAGGGTGTCATCCGCTGTGAACACCAAAACTGTCCCCAGATTTCTCGCATAATCTCTGCAGGTCAAAAACACCCCTGGGCCCTGGTGTCTCCCTGACAGCCCCCTCTTACACTACAGGATGTGGTTTTTATTTTGCCCTCCTGGGTTTTCCTACCTTTATTCCTAAAAATTTTTTATTGGAGGGTTTATTTTTAAACAGGCTAAGAGAATTTTAATTGTAATTTGATTACTAATCTTTGCAATTAAAGAGAACATCTACTAACAATGTGTTTCCAAGTGTTTCCCAACAAAAAAGAAAAGTCTATGTTGAACATATATTGAATTGGGTAATCACATTTGTACAGGTTTTTAAGACATTTCACAGTTCCTTACATACTTTTGTGCTATTATCATAACATTGTCAATTATAGCACTCCAAGTTCACATAGTAAAACACTCAAAGAGCGCACACATTGAGAATCCCTTCTCCGAGGCTGGTCATACTTTGACTGAGTTATAGACACTTGTAACTGGTAATCTGGGTAAGTGTTTGGTGAGCTGCTTTACAAAACTGGGCTAAACATCCTATAATCTCATCCAGCAAGCCATTACCTTCCATGTCAGTCCCTCTCCCCAGCTTGGGTGAATAATCTGCAATCTGGGTATTCCTGACAGTTATAAACTCAGTGACACAGAAATCAGAAGTCCAGGGACCCTACGTGGGTTCCACCATCTGCAGAGCCACTCCACCTCTCTGTCGCTGCAGCTGGATGGGCCATTCTCGGAGTGTCTCTCCTTCTACAGCCCTTCCCTGAGCAGGGCACTGCTCTGCACCCCCAGGATACCCCCAGGACGCACACTGAGTCTGCGTCCTCCCTGTGTTGGGAGTTAAAGGCCCACGTCCTCACTCGTGTCCTCTCTTCCTGATGCTGGCAGTGTCCTGTACAAGTCAAATGTTCAATACATGTTTGCTGAATAAATTAGTAAGCCAGCTAAATTCCAGATGGTGTAAGCAGAAGTATTTACTTATTTAGCATTGTATTTAATCCCACAGAATGAGGAATGAAAGCCGGAAATCACAGGCCGTCTTCGACGGCACAAGAATGCTCTCACTCCTGTCTGTGTGTGGCAGTGCACACACAGGCTACATGGGGTCTGCTGCAGTGCTTGCCTGTCCACTCCAGCTGTGGACAGTTCACACAGAAGCGTGCTGCACAGAACATTGTACCAGTACTGTGGATGTTATCTCCCAAAAATAAATTTCCTCATTCCTGAGTAAGGCTATTTCTACTTCCAAATCAAGTCGTCTTCACGTCTTCACGATACAGTCTACGTGTAAGTAGTTTTTATTCTACCTTCCCTTTGTTACAAAAACCATGCCTAGGGGCTGGGGATTTAGCTCAGCGGCATAAGCACCTGCCTTGCAAGCAGGCAGTTGTGAGTTCGATTCCCGGTACCGATAAAAAAGAAAAAGACAAAAAAAAATTAAAAAAGAAAGAAAGAAAGAAAACAAATTACATGAAAAACCATGCCTAGAGCAAGTTTGTCAGCTTTACCACATGAATAGAATCACTCATGTTTGTCCTCTTCTGTGTTTTACTTTCTAGACTTCTACCACTGTGAATTCTGTTAGACAAGTTGCTTGATACAGTGAGTTCCTGTTAGAAATACATTGTAGCAGTCCCCATTATACACGTTTCACTTTCTGTGGCTGTACTTCCTGTGGGTCAGCTGAAGATAATAAAAGTTCCAGAGATAAACTGCACATCCTTCTCAGTAGCACTGTGAAACCCCAGGCCACCTGGACAAGTCACATGTGCCATGACGTGTTGTAACCACCTCAGTTTCCAGACTTGCTGCCAGAGAAGCACGTACTGGAATTCAGCTAACCTGAGTTCTACTTAATAATGGTCTGAAGTACAAGAGGGAGGCTGGCAAAAGCACTGCAGAATACCATTATGCCTGTGTTCCTTGATTGTTAGTTGTTACTAATTCCTTCCGGTGTCTGATTTATAAGTTATACCCCTCCTAGGGATATATACCTAGGCACAAGCACAAGCACAATGATCTATGTAGGGTCCTGGGTTCCAGGTACTGCCTGAGGGTCTTGGTGCATACCCTTCAGGGTTAATAGGAAACTAGTATGCTACATTATGTGACTTACACAGCCAGTTTATTAAAAAGATGCTAGACTTTAAGAGATGGAGAACCCCGGTACCGATAAAAAGGAAAAAAGACAAAAAAAAAAAAAAAGAGAGAGAGAGAGCGAGAGATGGAGATCAATATCCAATTTCAAGTATAAAGGGACATAAATATAATGTCTTCCCATCAGTATGGTCAGAGATGATGATACAGTGAGGCATTATTTTGAAAATTTTATGAGTAAAACTGTGAACAAGAAATTCCTTTTTCTCCCTCACAGGAGTAAAAATTCCAAAACCCTACTTTCTATATCAGTTTATTCTTCATAAATAACCAATGAGAAATGAAGTTATTTTGAGTTTTTAAAAAAATAAGTGCCTATCTTGATTAGAAGTTGTTTTAAATGCCATTTTTCCTAGTTTCTTACACTTAGAATCTTATGAAAACAAAGAAGTTGGTGACAGATGCTTCTGTAACTGTATCACAGATCTCAGGGAACACCTTCAGAGGAGAGCAAGGCTGCTCAGCAGCGGCTTTCTATAAAACCCACAGACCTTACAGTTGCAGGTAAAGTGACCAAAACCTTACTTTATACTGAACCAAAGAGTGGGAAACAGTCCACCGTTGACAGGTTCATGTTCCTAGTTTTCAGGCAGTCCGCAGTGAGGAGCCACGGGGTCTGCACTGTAACCCAGCTTGGGTGACAGGCTGAACTGGCTGGCCAGCCCAGAATTCGTGCAGGTGCAGGTGTACCAGATGCAGGCAGGCCTAGGGGCAGAAGGGCGGCACCTGGCGGCCTCACATCTGCTAAATGATTCTCAAGGATGATTTTTCCAGGAGTTACAATGTTCTCAGCGATGTCCATGTGTGCTCTCTGGATCTTACAGCTTCTGATGTGCTTCCCAGGCGCTGAGGATGGTGAGGAGGGGCTGCGGGTTTGCTGTCTCGGAAGCAAAGCAAGTCTTCATTCTCGCAGTGTGGCAGCTCGGGGCCGGCTCCTGCCCCCACCCCATGGGTCAGGACACACACTTTGGGCACAGTGTCCAGGCTCCTAGACGCCAGGATGGAGTCACTGCCTCCTGGGCAGAGCTACAGCACCCTCTAAACCCAGGAGCAGGCCTCGGGGCTGCAGCCTGCACTGCCTCCCAAGACTAGACCGGCCTTGAACTCGTGATTCTCTTGGCTCAGCCTCCCAAGTGCTACAGAATGACAGATGTGTGCTACCATGACTGGCTGCTGCCTTTAATAAACGTGAAAGCTTGCCACTGTGTAGTTCATACTGGTCTTTTTTTGAACTATTTTTTATTAGTATGTACATACATTTATACACATTGATCACATTTATCACAGGGAATTTCTACCTGTACCTAATATAGTTTGATTCTGTTTTCCACCCTCTTCCCTTCCTTTCAACCCTTCTTTCTCTCTCTCTTTTTTTTTTAGTACAGGGGTTGAACTCACAAGCACTTGCCAGGCAGGCACTTGTGCTGCCAAGCTATATCCCTGGTGTGGCGTGACCTCACCCCTCATTTATAAAGCTTTGTTTCTGTTTTTTGTTTTTTTCAGGCTGGTCTTGAACTCACTATGTAGCCCAGGTTGACTCAAACCTGTGGCCTCTGGTTTTTTTTTTTTTTTAACTGTTACTTCATGTTTGCATAATGAATCTCTCTTAAAATATGTGAGACTTGCCAGGTGTGGTACATCTGTCATTCCAGCACGTGGGAGGCTGAGGCAGCAGAATTTGCCATGAGTTTGAGGTCAGACTGGGCTACATGGTCAGTTCAAGACCAGGCTAAACCACATGGCAGGGCTGGGGATATATCTCAGTGGCACAGTGCTTGCCTGGCAAGTACAAGGTCAAGAGTTCAATCCCTGGTACCAGGAAAAAAAAATAATATGATAAGACCCTGTCAAAAAGCAAGCAAGCAAGCTAGCTAGCTAGCTTCCCTTTCTCCTTGGCCCTGTGGACATTGAACAGCTTAGTTGTCCTGTCCTGTGGTCCGAGTCAGTCCACTCCCTTTCATCATCCCCTGGCCTCAGCATTTTCATCACCATCCTGGTTGGGTTCCCCAGCCCTTCATTCCCACCTACCTGCCCTGTGCTCTGCTGATGTAATGGTGTCTTTAAGAGTCAGGTCTGACTGTTCTTGTTGTGATTCATTTCCTTTAATGGCTTCCCATCTTTTTAAGCAATAAAGAATTCAAATTCAAAAAATAAATAGAACTTATTGGGCAGTATGACATGTTCAATAGCTCCTGGTAGGAAATTTTGCTTAATGCTGTTCTAAATACAAGATTCTGTATCCTGCTGGGTATGGCTGGCCCGTGCCTGTAATCTCAGCACGCAGGAGGCTGAGGCAGTAGGATTTCAGTGAGTTCAAGGCCATCCTGGGCTACATAGCAAGACGCTGTCTCGAAATAAAAAGATCTTGTATCTTACTGTATGCTCATTTTCTTGCCTGGCTTACCATCTCTTGTTTTATTTGACTGTTCTCTCCTGTTGCAAAAGTTAAACTTTGAATGGTGGCTTTAATCCACGCATTTGGGATACTGAGGCAGGAGGATTGCAAGTTTGAGTTCAGCCTGGACAATTTAGCAAGCCCTTATTTCAAAATGAAAAAAAAATAAAAAGGACTGGGCATGTAACAGTGTGCAAGTCTTGAATTCATTCAGCAGTGTATGTGTGCACATTTGCACAGGCACACACGCAAACTAGTTTAAACCTCACTTGTAGATTTGTACTGTTCTTTGTATTCTCAGCATTGTTCATACCATCTTAGTTCTCCCCCACATTTTTTTAGACAGGATCTCACTATGTAGCCCAGGTGGGCCTTGAATTCACAGAAGTCCACCTGCCTCAGCCTTCCAAATGCTGGAATTGCAGGCATGCATCTTCACTCCCAGCTAGCCATTCCGCATGGTAGTGTAAATACTAGTTTTGCTTGAAGACACCATAAAAACACTGCAAGCAGGGTGCAGATAATGGGTTCAGTACTGAAGTGCCTAGTATAGTGTCCCAAAGTGCTTGATAAATGTTTGTTTTCGACTACTGCAGCCTGGGTTTCACTGTGTGGGTCACACTGCCTTGAACCTGGGACAGAAGGCAGGTCACTATCCTGGCTGATCAATGTTAAGTAAACAGTGAAGATACTGAAACCCTGGGTGGTGAAGAACATGCTGGGGAAAGGGTGGGGCTGAGGGATTTCAGAGGCACAATAGAAGGGTTATTAATGGGTTAGTGGAGGGAGCGAGAAGGAGAATACTCAGGTACCTTCAGTTTTCTACTTCCGTTGATGTGGGGGTATAAATACAATACATACAGATTTACTCATTTATTTTGGGTAAGAGATACCAATGCCGTAGAGTTGCCTATGCCCAGTAGCATTTTCTAGTTTTATTTTCAGAGGTTAATTTTTTTCCCCTTCCAGTACTGTGGATTGAATCCAGAGCCTTCACACTGAGCAACATACCCAGCCTTTTAAATATTTTTTAAATTTTGTGATAAGGTCTCAGTAAGTAGCTAAAATGGCCCAAGCTGGGCTCGAATTTACAATCTTCCTGCCTCAGCCTTCCAGTGTGTTAGGATTACAGACTTACTGTACCCAGCTCCATGCAGGACGTTTATCAGCAGCCCTGGACTCTACTAAATGCATGCTTTTAGTCACCCTGTAATCCCTGAGATGTGACAATCAAAAACATCCTCCACATGGTATTAAATGCTCGATGAAGGATGGGGGAAACTATCCCATCTTGAGAAACATTAATTTGGCCCAATAAATTTAAAATATATTTTCAGTATATAATCACTATTTAAAAGTATTGAAATGGTGTGGTGGTGCTCACCTGTCATCCCAGTATTCAGAAAGCTGAGACCCACTAGGCATGTATTTTTTATTTATAGTGCTTCTGTTTGTACTAGACACATTTCAAGTGTTCAGTAGCCTTATGTGGCTACTGTCTGTGCCTTAGTATATAACAGGTCAAAAATGAAAAAGATGGATAGATTTATAGATTTGCAAAGTCATGAAATAACAGTTAAAATCCTGGGACCTGATGGGGTGGCACAGACCAGTAATCCCAGTGCTGGAGAGGCTGAGAGACAGCCTGGGCACAAGGTCCAGCCTGGGCAAATAGTGAGATCCTGCCTCATACAAACAACAAAATAAAAATCCTGGAGAGTCCAGGTTGTATTCTATGTTTAGAATTGAGATTCCTGGCCCAGTGTTCTTCCAGTTTCTCCCTCGGTTATACTTTTCTTTTTCCCCTTTTGAGACAGGGTGTCACTATGCAGTTCAGGCTGGCCTTGAGCCCAGGTGGTTTCAAATGCCCAACAATCCTCTGCCTCAATCTCCTGAGTGGAGTCCTAGGATTACAAGCATGGGTCACCACGCCCGCCTTTGTGTGTACTTTAAAAATATTTTCTTCATCGAATAATGTGCAGAACATGAGTGAACAAGAGTACTGAGAAAGATATTGATGCAAAAAAAATTTTTTTTTTGTCTTTTTCATTTTTATCGGTACTGGGGATTGAACTCACAACCGCCTGCTTGCAAGGCAGGTGCTTATGCCGCTGAGCTAAATCCCCAACCCCTTTTTTTATCTTTTTTTTTTTCAAAAGTATTGTTTATTGAGTGCTTAATTGGTGATTTTTGGGGTACCATATAAATTGTTTCATTTACTCTCACAAGGACCTTTTAGGGCAAATGATGTTAACCCAATTTATAAACTGGGAAACTGAGACTTATAAAGAGTTAATAAATCAGCTGTTAGTGGCATGAGGTGGTTTTGGAAAAGTCAGGCTGGGTGTGGTGGTGCACAAGTGTAACCCCAGGACTTGGGAGGCCGAGGCAGGAGGATCATGCCAAATTTGAGGCCACCCTGGGGTAACATAGACCCTGTCTCAAAACAAAACAAAAAACCTGGAAAAAAAGGAGGTCACATTAAAGCCAAAGCTCAGGATTTGCCCCTCCAGTCTTCACGCGCAAGTAATGAGGCATTTGCTATCTGCTGATTTTTATAAAGCCATTCAGTCTGAGGACTTCGGCGTTTTCAGGATCTCCATTACTGGCTTGGCCCTGGTTCCGGAAGCGAATTCCTCTCCAGGTGAGAGGTCGCGATGTTTGTCCTTAGTGTGGAGGATCTGTGTGTTATGACTTTCTGTGGAAGCCACTGAACTATGTTTTAAAGTGTGCCCTAAATATAGACCTGCGTGGAGCTGTAATTTTTAGTGAGGAAGAAAATAGTCAAGAAGTAACCACAATCACGCCTGACAGCTAACGTAAAACCAGCGCGAAACACAGCACACGAGCGCGCGGCGCCGGCTCTGCAGACCTCCGGAGCGAGCGCGCGCGAGGCGGGGGCGGGGGCGGGGGCGACGGGAACCAGCTCTGCGCAGGTGCGGGTGCGGGCGCGGCAGAGGCGTGACGGCAGCGTCCGCATTTCCTGACTGTCGTAAAGCCGAGTGTCGTGCTCGCCCGGTAGGGGAGGGACTGACTAGGCGGCAGCGGCGGCAGTCAGAGGAACCGGCCAGGCGGCGATGGTGCCCAGGCGTTCAGTTCGCTCAGCATAGGGACCCCTCCGCGCTCCGGAGAGGGAGCTGCTGTGCGGCGGCGCGGCCCCGCGATCCCTGGGCTAGCCGGCCGGTTGCGGACGCTGTCTCACGCACAGTATTGGTGGCGGTGACAGACGCTGCTCCGGATTCGGGGGCACCCGGGCTAGGCTCCGAGGCGCGGGGAGCGGGCTCTCGACGGGGCCTCATTCCCCTCGCGTCCCCGTCTTCCTTCCCGGGCCCGGGAGGAGGAGGCTGATGGTGGAGGTGAGGGGCCTGGGGGAGGGGCGCGCCCGGGCCGCGCGTGCGCGCAGGGGGAGGGGCGGCGGGGCGAGGAAGAGGAAGGGCCGGGACGCAGGCCGGTGCGGGGTGTGGGGTGTGGGGTGTGGGTACCGGTCCCGGCTCCGACTCCGGCTCAGGCTCCGGCTGCGCCCCCACCGCTGAAGTCCGGGTGCCGCGTCCGCCCGCCGGCCCCCCGCGTCCGCAGGACCCGAGCGCGCTTCTATCCCGCCGTCCCTGGAGTCCTGGGATGGGCTGAGCCCCGGGCTTGGGAGTGCGGGTGACAATGGAGCCGTGAAGGTGCCGGGCCGGGGGGCGGAGGGCGCGGGCGGCCGGGGCTCTGGGAGCTGCCTCTCGCGCGTCCGCCGAGCGCCGGACCCGGACACGCGTCAGATTCGTGTGGAGTTCGCTTGTGGGTCGTTAAAAAAGGTTGATGTTT